CCGGGAATGGGTAGCTTATTCAAGGAACAAAAAACATTGCATAATAATAGAAAATTTAAAATTCTTATAGCTAAAACTATTTAACGACAGATTTTCTTAGCTTACCCAGCTGCCTAGATCCAGCATCCTGGAGCTAAGCTTGTCGGTCAAACTGAAACACTGCTGTAGCATTTCATTCCTGTGTATCTCGTCGCTTCTGGAAGCTTGCGCTGCCACGATGATTTCTCCTGCAATTATCACGAGCATGGTCAGTTTACTCCACGATGATTTCAATCCACTTCGCGAATCAACTTCTTCCTCGAAGATCTCCTGAATGTTCCTTTTCGATTCCACCAGTGTTCTCATTCTTGCAGCGTCAAATCTGCATCTCTCGCTTTCGTTTTCCGTCACGACTGTCAACAAATGACGTGCGATGGTTTTCACCGTGGGAGAAACGTAAGGAAGATCAAGTTCTAGTCTCTTTCTCGCGTAGAAATCCAGGAGAATAGTTAGATCACGTCTAACTTCAAACGTCTTTAACTGTTTGACAAGATCCAACCTCTTAATTGCGCTTAAAGCGTCTTTCAAAAAATTAACGTCGGCCCTGGAAATTTTACCCACATATTCTAGTGAACGAAAAATGTTTAAAGAGCCTTCAACTTCCGTCGGTATCAGTCCAGAACAGTAGAAACGAAGCTCGTCCTGCTGAATTTTTTCCAAATTGTGCGAAATCTGAAGCAAAGCAGCAGAATAAGCCCGTCGAAGTTTGTCAGAACCCTCGTCAGTCGGTGATGACATGGCGGTGTCATCAATGGCGGCAGAGGGGACGAAATATTGTCTGCCTGATTCTATATACCCTAGGTTCACAAACAAACACCATAAAAGGGCATTGTTATGGTATTTTGCTGAGAGAAACTACGGCAACCCTTTTTTTTCTGTTCCCAAAATAGATCCGTTTATAGAAAGATAGGCAAGGTGTGCAGGAGATTTAACTGATCTTATTTTTGTTGTCTTTTTTTTGGTCTGTTTGTTAACTTGCTTCTTCTGAATTAGATGTCGTATTAAACCGCCACTACTTATGCGATCAGCTACATATCAATCACCCCCTCACAGCACTTCCCCAAGGCGTGTGTCGTCTACTTTGTGCACAAGGCTGGGCCGAGTTATTCGAAAGAGGGTTCGGACGTTAGTCCAGGATTAAAAGTTAACCTCGGCTTTAATTTCTCATACAGAAGCGCGTGTTTAAGAGTTATGGTTTTGTTGGGTTTTAACTGAATATGACTTGAAACAAACGGGAAATATACCAAAGAAAAAGCTTCTTTGCAGAGGTGTGACGAATCCGCGCCACAAAGGTGGGCGCCCTCCAACATACACAAAACACGAAACATAAACAAGCTCCAGAAGACACGCCACAACATAACTAAACGTAGGCCTAGAAATATTTATTACTCTAAGTAAATATAAGACAATATGGTAATTAACAATTACAAACAACAAAAAAGACAATAAACTAAATTATTTACCCTAATTACAATGATAAAACTAAATTGGTAAATACTTTGTTTCTTGGTTGCTTCTTGTTAAACTTTGTTTCTTGGTTGCTTCTTTTCTTTGTGGTACTTTCTTACTGTGTATCTTTCTCGGTTTCAATCTTTTGTCATTCTTTCAATGTAATACTCGATCGTTAAAAAATTCTCAAATAGCATCAATATCAAAAGTTTCAATTTCAAGTTTCAGTAGTAGTAATATTTTAGCAGTTTTTCGAAATTTCTTAAACATTCAATAGCATCAATTCACAATCCTTTACCGACGATAACTTCAAAACCATTTTTGCAATTTTTTTTTCGACTTTTTGTAGATTTTTCGATTTTTTTGTTTATGTAATAAATGTTGGTTGTTGTTTAGTGTCAGTCATTGAGTTTCAGTCTGGTAGAGTGAGGGTAGAACTCTTAGACTTCAACAGAAGGAAGATGTAGGCAATGATGAATTAACCCCCCCCCCCCAAAGTGGTCTTTCACGCGCGCTAAAAGCAAATGGCTAAAACAATGGAGAGGAACTCCACTCCATTCCAGTAGAGTGGAATGGAGTGAAAAATACTCTATAGTCTGTGAGAAAAATTAAAGTAAAATGAAAAATGAAAATGGCTCTCTACTTTGCACCTTTTTTTTTGTTTTTTTGTTTTTTTTCTCGTGCACTCGCGCGATCCAGACCGTCTGCTATTCTACGTAAGTGCAAGGTTCAGGGGAGGGGTAGGTGACACCTCCCCCACCTCCCCCCTGATCCTTTGGAAACTTGCTACGCAGGTTAAGGCTGCTATACTAATTATCTACTTAAAGAAAAAAGGGTGATTCTCTCAGTTGTCGAACCACGTCTGCTACGAGGGAGTTGCTGCGGTTGCACTCTTCCTGCTGACCCCAAACCTCACTGCATCTTTCCTCCACATGTTCACAGAAATCATCCTGAAAGGAATTATAATAAATATGTCAGTGACACTGGACATTTCTGGGCCACCACATTAATTTAAACCACCAGCTAAATGAAGTATTTTTATAGCAAATTGATTAAACAAAAAGAAATAATGATATTTAAAAAAAATAACAAAAAAACAATGAGTATGGACGCGAGTAGACACTGGTAACGAGTTCACAGCTTGAGGATGGACTGAAAACCAATGACTAAAGTTTACTTTCGGTTTGGGGCTTTGATATCTTTTATCTTCGGAATGATTGCATCAGAATTTGACGACAGCTGTTTTCAATCTTACTTGTAATTTCGCATTGGTTATAATTGGAATTAAGTATAACCTTTAGTACATATTACGAAGGCTGAGCTCTTTAAAGTGTCGGAGCTGTAGAGTATGACATTTTTATCATAAACAACACTATGAATTAGTATCGAATTGGTCACGGAAGACGTATTGAGAACCTCTTTCTAAAAGGCAAATTTTGGCACTGCCTCTTCACTTCTGAAGTTATGTGTGTTCAGTTTCATTCGAACCAAACTAGCGACTTCAAAGAGGATTTCTGGCATGACAAACTATAATTAATATTCTATCTTTATAAATACAACTAACAACTTCCGCCATGACACATTCGT